AGAAACATTGATCGGTTGGTTGCCTCTTGCATGCCCCCAACCGGGAACCTGGCCCACAACCCAGGCATGTGCCCTGAGCGGGAATCAAACCCACGACACTTCGGTTTACAGGATAACACTCTAACCAAGTAAGCCACATTAGCCAGGGAGACCATTTGTTTTTGTTTTCTTAAAACCACATACCACTTGTAGGGATTTATCATAGGGAACTAATACAAGTGTCTTAAGATGTATGCAAAAGGAAGTTTACTTCTCGACATTGTTCATAATGACAAAAAACTGGAAGCCGTCTAAACAGCCAACAACCCACAGGGATTGGTTACACGGTTTGTGGTACAGTGTGTCCACACTGTGTCGATACCATGAAATACTATGTAGCTATTTAAAAAGATGATATAATAGGATGGAAAGATTTTTACAATACATTGTTAAATGAAAAAAGTCGGTTGCAGAAAGATCATATAGTAAGATACATTTTGATTTAAAGAATTTTAGAGAGGGGGGAGGCAGTGAGAAAGAGAGGAAGGAAAATATCGATGTGCAAGAGAAACATCCATCGGTTGATCCTCCCCAACAGAGATCTGGTCAGGAACCCATGCATGTGCCCTGACCAGGAATCAAACCAGTGACCTTTCAGTTTGTGAGACAACACCCAACCCCTAGGCCACATCTGTCAGGACTACAGTGTTGTTGTTTCTTTTAAATTACAGAGATATTCAACAAGCTCATTGACTTTCTCCTGTGCCAGCTCTGAGCTAGGCACTGGGCACAGGGATACAGAGTAAGTAAGAACCAGCTTCCGGATGTGAAAGAACTCGCATCCCCGGGCGGGATGTTTCTCTTTGGTAACTCCCCAGAGGAGATAACACTTGAGTTGAATTTTGCAATAAATTAGCCAGAAAAATGAAGACGGCAAGTGTTGTAGTCATGAAGTTGACCCCCACTCATCCCTCCCACCAACCATAATCCCGTTTAAGTTGCTGATGATTGGCTCAGGATGCGCACGTGGCCAATTCTGGCCAATGTGAGGTGAGGGGCAGTCTCCTAGGGGACTTCTGGGAAAAGTTTTTGAGTGCCTAATAAAGACACTAGATATGGTCTCTATATTCCTGTGGATGTTTTCATGTCAAGGTGTGAAGTTGGAGTTTACTGCCACCTTCTTCCAACCCAGAGAAGATTCAACTTTACAATGAACCTGATACCAAGGGTGGCAGAGAAAAGAGACATAAAAGGCTGGTTCCTCAACATTTTTGAGCGTTGATTATATAGTGCCTGAGGTCCCTCTTGCCTCTGTATGAAGGGAGATACTGTATATCCTGACTGTTCAAGCAGATTTGAGTCAGGGGGTATCATGTTACTTGCAACTGAAAACATGCTAACTATTGCAGAAAAGCATTCCAAGCACCAAAAACAGGTGAGAGGGAATGGCCTGTAGTTCCTATGGCTGCCAGGGAAGCTGGATGTGGGGGCAGGGAATGCCAAATGCTGACAATGGACAGGCCAGTAAGGCTGGGTCATGACAAAATTATGTCATCAAAGGTTTCATGATTTAATACAATAGCAGTAAGGAGCTGGTTAACAGTAATAAGCAGCAAAGTGATTTGTTCAAATCTGTGTCTTATGAAAATCACTCTAGTAGCTAAGAACAATATGCAAGAGAGAGTGGGAAAGCACAGCGTTCGGGGAGATCCGCTGGAAGACTGTTGCATATGGGGGGAGATGACTGGGCCGTGGCATTGAGGCGGAGAGCAAGAGAGAGTCAAGAAATGTTAAGGAGGCAGAGTTGCCAGGCTGGGTGTTCAGGGGGCTGTAGTGGAGAGGAGAGGGGATGGGGCTCCCTCCCAGAGTTCACGCCTGGGCGTCTGGGAGGCCGCTGGCACCATGTCTTGAAAAAGGCAATGCCAGAAGCAGGCTCGGGTGGGAAACAAGGAGCTTGGTCGTTCTAAACGTCCGTGTACACGGTGCCCCAAGATGGAACAAATGTAGGGAAACCTACTGAAGGGCATCAATCACCGGTTTTTTTTCTGCTAACCATCTTGATTCTTTTTGGGGAGCCCTCCTTCCACCACTGGACAGAGTTGGAGGACCTGCCATCTGTCTGGTCAAAGGGTAGACCACAATCCAAGCCTGGACGATTAAATGCTTTTCTTGGAATCTGAACCTCTACCTGCCTCAGCCGAAGTATTCAGTCATCCCCTCAAGATTAAATTTTGTCTTAGTTTGGGCTCCCCTGAACTTACAGCCTGAGCAAGGGCTTGTGTGTAGGAAGTATACTTGGGAAGCGATTCCAGGGAGCAGGAGAGAGGAGTGGAAGGAGAAGTCTAACCTAAAGTTTGTCACGTTTGGGTGCTCCAGCCCACTGGAACCTTCTGAGGAATAGACCATAAGTCTCAGAACATTCTGCAAGAGCGGCAAAGGGAGAGGCCTGTGTCCATTGGCTCCTGACCCCACTGGTAAGGGTGGTGACCCAAGCACCCTTGGGTGGCCCATGCATGTGTGCTCAGAAGACTCCCATAGGCAACTCAGGTGGCAGCATCAGAGAAGCTTGGGACAGGAAGTGAGAGGCTGCAGCGCATCTTAGTTTGAGATGAAGCACCGTCAGTGCAAACTGGGTCAAAACCTGTGCAGAAGAGACCACAGTGGCAGAGGGGAGGCAGAAAGGATGCAAAGCACAAGAGATGTGTGATACAGGCCTCAAAAAGCGTCTGCCACTCCTGCGGCTCAGATCTCCGGAACTGTTCCTGCAAGGCCCCGCGGTCCAGCTTTCCCTTCAGTTCTTCAGGCCATACCATAGCCTCCCATGTGGGCTCACTGCAGCCACAGTTGTTTCTGTTGCTTAAGACCAAACCACGCTAATGGACGCAGCACGTCACATCCTAGAGAGCTGACTAAAAAACGGTTGTGGAGCAAACAAAACATGTTTCTGTGATATTTCTTGAGAAGTCCTTTGGTAAAAATTGAAGGCTGAGGCATGTTTTCTGAGGGTATGGCCTCCCCACACATTGTCCTCCCCAAATCTAAGAGAACACTTGGGCACTTCTGGGGAGAGGGTTACCTGCTTTACCACCCAGGCTCTGACTAAGAACAGCAGGACATGTCTGTATCTCATCAACATCCCTGGATGGTTGTGCCCTGGGCTAAAAGAGGGTCCTTCAGGTACAGCCTCTAAGGGTGGACCAACTTAGACCAGCAATTTTCAACTGGTATACTGCAAAAATTTTAAAAGATTTTATTTATTTATTTTGATGTAGAGAGGGGAAGGGAGGGAGAAAGAGAGGGAGAGAAACATCAGTGTGTGGTTGCCTCTTGCATACCCCCAGCTGGGGACCTAACCCACAGCCCATACATGTGCCCTGACCAGGAATTGAACTGGTGACCGCTCACTGTGTGGGCTGACGTCCAACCCCCTGAACCACACCGGTCAAGGTGTGCCACACTGACCTCTTTTCCCTTCATTTTTCAAATAAAAAAATGACAACAGCCAACACAACAAATAGCCATCTGCTATGAATGGATCACAATTATATCTATTTTTGGTCAGATTGGCAAAAATGTATTTGTTAATTTTGCTCATTACCTTATGTGTGCTATGAGATGAAAAAGGCTGAAAAGTGGTTGGCTTAGACCAAGGTCTTGATCTTGGGTATGGGGACTCCTGAGTTTATGGGCACAGGATGGAATCACACCGCAAGTGAAACATGGACGCGTGTGGGGTGGGAGAGCGTATTCATGGGCACACACAGGCTTGCTTGCATGCCGATTGGGCCAGCTTTCCTCAGTAGAGACCATACTGCTGGTCACTGACAATAAATTGGTGAGTAGAGACACACCAAGTGGCGTGCATTTTTTAATTCTCTCAGCATTAACTAAACCTGTATATTAGTACCTGTGCCCTCCAAGTCTAATGAAGCTGACAGACACAAATGTAAAGTTTAGCAGAAATTTACAAGAACTAAGATACAGGGATAGACAATGTATCACAAGGGAGTAAGTTACCCTGTGAAATCTGGAAAGACTGACCAGAGGAGGATGTGCTCAGGTGGGCCTTGAGGGACCAGGAGGAGCTTCCGGGCAGATGATGGGGAAATGAAGAACAAGAAACAAGGAACCAGCAGAGTGAAATCACAGGGGCGTGAAACAGCACAGTGCATTAGGGCACCCCGTGAACGGTAATGGTGGGAGGTAGCTCCTGTACTTGACCCTGTAGGAAAAGGAGATTTCATTTGGGAAATAATACCCACATGTTCTATATATTTTAAAGAAAACATGTATGATGTTTTTTGAAAAGTTCAAATAATATAGAAAAAGTAAAAAGTAATAGGCTCCATTGTCCTTTCTACCTGCCTAAATCCCCTTAAGTAATCTTTTTTTGAAAAAGGTTTTATTTATTTCTTTTTAGACAGGGGAAGGGAGGGAGAGAGAGAGGGAGAGAAACAATGATTTATGGTTGCCTCTTGCACGCCCCCTACTGAGGACTTGGCCTGCAACCCAGGCATGTGCCCTGGCTGGGAACCAAACCAGCAACCCTTTGGTTCGCAGGCCCGCGCTCAGTCCACTGAGGCTCACCAGCCAGGGCCCTTCAGGTAATTAACAGCCAATAGGGTAGCAGTTTCTTGTGTATCCCTCCAAATATTCTCTATATACCTCTAACACATACACACACACACACACACACACACAGAGTCTGTCCAGAAGGTATCCAGCCATGTAATATGAAAAGAAACATTTATTGAACAAGATACAAGAAACATTGTACATGAGACAATGACAGCTCAGTCCCCTTCAAAGTAGGTATCTTGGTACCTCACACAGTTCTGTCAACTGCCATCAGCTGCCCCATCGTATTTTCCTGAATCTCATTGATGATTTAGTTTTGGGAAAAGCCAGAACTTATAGGGCTCCAAATCTGGGCTGTAGGGGGCCTGAGTCACCTGGGTGATTTGATGTCTCACCAAAAACCTCTGTGTGAGAGGTATCTTTGAGCCTGCTCAATAGACACCATGAGCAAAGCTTACCTCCCCACCTTGCCTGAGCTAAAAAAAATTTACAGACAAGAAGTTATCATTGAAATTAATGGTGGCAGACATGTCCAAGGAATCTTGTGGGGATTTGACCCCTTTATGAATCTTGTGATAGATGAATGTGTGGAGATGGCAGCTAGTGGGCAACAGAATAATACTGGAATGATGGTAACATGAGGCAATAGTATCATCATGTCAGAAGCCTTGGAACAAGTATAAAGAATGGCCGTGTTCACCCAATAAACCAGCTGCTTCTGTGTCCCCCTCTCCACATCTCCTGTTTTACTACAACATAAAAATTGAGTCATGTACATTTTCACATTGAACTTTTGTTAAATAAATTTTTGTACTGGTCAAAAAGAAAAAACCCTCTGCGTGAGTTGTGATACATGAGCAGGCGCATTGTTGTGATGAAGCTGCCAATCACCAGTTGCCCATAGCTGTGGCCTTCCGAATCATCTGAATAGTTTCAGCAGAATAGTGTTCAAGCTTAATGCAAAATTGGATGTGGATTTGTGACTCTATTCACTCATTTCGACTGTGAAGGCCACACAGTACACATGCTCATTCAACAGCATTTACTGCCCCCACTGACTAGTACAGTGAAGTCGTCATTGTTCACACATGTGCATTGCAGTACATTCTCCTTGGCTGCCAGGTTACATCGATGTCAAACAAACTGTTCTCATTAGATTAGCAATGGCTGGACTTTTTCCAGACAGTCCTTGTATATATTAATTATCTTTTGACTTTGTTTACAGTGTTTTGGCCACATGGAAATTTAAAGTGTTTTTTTTTAAATAATAGGGAAACTACAGTAATTCCTTTGTTTTATATCTTCTCATATTCTAAACATATTTCATTGTTTCCTTTTTGGTCTTGGTTCATTTAAAAAAATTAAATTTATTAGGGTAATATTGGTTAATAATATTTTATAAGTTTTCACTGACTAGTGTGGCTCGGTGGGTTGGGCATTCTCTTGCAAACTGAAAGGTTACTGGTTCAATTCCTCTTCGGGGCACATGCCTGGGTCGTACAGGCCAGGTCCCTGGTTGGGGGGTTATGAGAGGCAGCCAGTCCATGTTTCTCTCCCTCTCTTTCTTCCTCCCTTCTCCCTCTCTAAAAATAAATAAATAAATACAATACTTTAAAAATAAATAAAATTTTAAAAAAGAAAAGAAGTATATGTGTTTAGGCAGTAAGCAAACTGTTTTTATTGTTCTTTAAATGAAGTACATGGTTTGTATGTCAGTAGTTGAACTTTTTCATCAGAAAATACATTCTCATGGTCAGAAAAACTTAAAGGTATAAAGCTGTATACATATGGATGAAGTTCCTGCCCAGCCCTGCCCTGCAAGCACTGGGGACTCTGCAGTGACCTCTACTATCACCAATTTGCTAGTTGCTTTTTCCTAGTATGATTTTTGAGACAGAAAAAGATTCCCACACGTATTGACTTAATCTGGAACTGACAGAAACATAACTCAAAATGGCTTAACAAAACAGGGAATTTTTTGGTTTATGTCTTGAAAAGCCCAGGGGTAGTACTAGCTTTAGGCTTGGCTGAGTCCAGACCCTCAAATACCACAATTAAACATGTGTTTCTAAGTCTTGGCTCCACTTTCTTTGGTGTTTGCTTCATTATCAAACAGACTCTCCCTAGAAAGCCTCAAAGATAGCCACTGATGGTTCCAGGCTTATGTTCTACCAGCTCAGTCACCCCCATGAGAAAAAGCAACATTTCTCTCTTGGTAACTCTGCCAAGAATCCCAGGTTTTCCTCTCTTTGGCCTGATGTGGGTCACATGACCACCTCAGGACCAACCGCTGTGCCATAGAATGCTCTGATAAGCTAGGCAGCCTGAAGTCAACCTCACTGGAACCAAGAGTAAGTCAGAATGAGCTTCCGAAATGAAAGGTGGGCTTTGTCACAAAAGAATGGGGATGAATCTTGAATAGGCAGAGTAAGGTAACTGGCCATCATCCTGCCCTAGTGCTTCTAATATTAACAGAATAGACCATTTACTGAATGAATTACACTCTTCTTTTCAGAGACCCATGTAAAAGGGGAGCACCTGCATTCCTGCCAGTAGCTTCACAGGTATAGGGTGTGAATGTCCCTGGGAGTCTTGAGTGTTGCTAAGCCCTCTGCCTAGCTACTTACACAACAACTTTTTAAAAATTAACACTCTGACTCTAAAATTTATATGAGAATGCAAGGAATGTGAGCAGACAGTGGAATATTGAAGAAAGCTTAAGAACTTACACTATCATATATAAAAACTCATGGTAAAATTTTAATAATTAAGCCAATATAGCATTGACATAGATTAGACAAGTAGACCAATGATATAAACCAGAGATCCCGGAAACAGACCTATACATACACGATCGTTTGATTTATGAGAAAGGGGCCACTACAGTTCATTAGGAGGAAAGGGATATTTAAAAAACTGGTTTGGAAACTTGAATGGGACAACATGGGGGGAACAGACCTTGCCTCCTACCTCAGACTACACACTAATATTAATTCAACATGGGTCAGAGTCCTGAGTGTGGGAGATGGAACAGTGAAGTTTTTAGAAGAAAATGTAGAACTTCTTTTGATTTTGAGGTAGAAAAAAAGATTGTTTGAACCTATCACATGCACACCAAAAAAAAAAAAAATCAACCATAAAATAAAAGGTTGAAAAGATAAAGGAAATAAATGTCATTAAAATTAAGAACTTCTGTTTATCCAAAGATCCCACTAAGAGAGTGAAAAGGTAAGCCACAGACCAGGAAAAGATATTTGCACTACATCCATTCATCACACTTAGAATATTTAAATATCTCTTATGCATTAAGAAAACAAAGCCAGACAACCTGTATTTTAAAAAATAGGCAAGGACTTGAGCAGACACTTCACAAATCACCAATAAGCATGCAAAAAGGCGTTCCGCATCACTAGTCATCAGTGAAATGCACATCGAAACCTCAGTGAGATACTATTATCCACCCATCAGAACGGCTAGAGTGAAAAGGACTGACACTTTCAAGTGTTTACCAGGATGTGGAGCAACTGGAACACCTATACATTGTTAGTAAGAATATACATTGATACAATTCTTTGAAAAACTAGCAGTATTTACCAAAGCAAAATACATGTGTATATTCTATGCCTCAGGAATTCCACTCGTGGCTATATACCCAACAAAAATGAGTGTGTATCTGTTCCCCAGAAGCAATGTATAAGAATGTTCATCACAGCATTATAATAGTCAAAAGTTGGAAACAACTTGAGTGTTCGTTAGAAGTAGAATGGATAAATAAAACACAGTGCATGTGTCTGCAATGGAATATTATACAGCCAGTGGCAGGAACAGCCAATTGCTGCATGAGGCCACACAAATGAATTTCCTGGACATAATATTGGACAAAAGGAGCCAGGCACAAACAGTCACTTACTGTACACTGCCATCTGTATGGAGTTCAAAACCAGACAAAACCAATAAATGGTGACAGAGATCAAAACAGTGACTACTCTACAGAGGGTGTGACCGGGAGGGCCATGGAAAGGCCTTCTGAATCTTGATCTGGGCATTGGTTACAATTTATTAAAAGATGCATTAAGATTTGGACAGTCTACTGTTAGTAAGCTATACCTCAATTTTTTAAAAAAGGGAAGAGTTTAAACCATTGGTGTCCATCAATGTCTCCCTATTGCTTACAAGAGAAAATCCAGCTTTTTCTACAGAGCACTGATCCCACGACTGTAATTAGTTTACTGTTTGGCTCCTACCCATCCCCCCACTAGACTATAATCTCCATGAGGTCAGGGCCTTGCCTACACTTTTCACTGCTATAACCCCAACCCCTAGTACAGTTCTTGACAAAGAGAAGATGTGCAACCAATACATATTTTTAATACATTCATGCATGAGCACTGGCTTTATCTTGTTCCAATGACAACATTTCTGATCTCCCTCAGTTCCCATCAGGTTTCCAGGTTTATGGAACCTTCCTAGCATCTCTAGCCCTACAGAGTGGTTCACTCCTGCCCAACCCGCAGTGTTCTTACACAAGACTAGCCTTTGCAGAAGTTGTTCTGGAATGCCCTTTTTCCTTTCTCTGTCCCACAAACTCCTGCCTATTCTCCAGGCCCTTCCAACCCCTCCCACAACTCACTTCTTCATGTTCTTAAAACGTGAACAGAGCATCCTTTTCATTACATCTTTGTATTTATGGCTCCACACCTTCCTGACTTGGAGATCTTACACATTGCCTAACTCTCTGGGCTGGTTATTTTCAGTGTACACGCACCCCCTCCCAAAGACCTATGCTTTATCTTTCTCTTCCCTTTGTGTGCCCCAGAAGGCTGACCTCTGTGGACTACATCACCTAGGAAACCTTGCCTCCTGCTTTCCTGTGGATTCAACCAATGGGAACTACAAGCAGTAGCCAGAGAAGAGGATATGAATTCCTTACCTCCCACCTGGTTCTCTGCAGCCCCAGCTTCACCGGGTGCTACTGACAAAGCTTCCCCTTTCAGACCTGTAGTTGGTCACAGCTCCTCACTGTTGCCAACCTCAGGCACCCCACTGTCCTTTGCAGGTTGCTTTAACCCTTCCCTCACCTCTGTAAATAGTGCCCGTGCTAAACTGTTCAAAAAACCCTTCAGCTGCCATTCTTCTCCTACTGGGACTCGGTCCTGCATACTCCCTACCCCTCCTTTGCTCATTTGTAAACTGGGAGGCAACTGTGGTGATTAAACGAGACATGTGGGTGCAGTGCTGGGCATAGCGCTGGCCGTAGTAAGTGCTCAAAGCACATAAACTCCCTTTATTTTTTTAAGCTTTTATTTATTTATTTTTAGAGAGAGGGGAAGGGAGGGAGAAAGAGAGGGAGAGAAACATCGGCTGGCTCTCCTCTGCACACACCCTGGCTGGGGACCGAACCTGCAACCCGGGCATGTACCCTGACCAGGAATTTGAACCAGGGACCCTTTGCTTTGTGAGACGAGGCCCAACCAACTAAGCCACACTGGTCGGGGCTAAACTACCTTCATAATTATGATTGTGCTCTATCACTTGGCTCTGAGTGCCTTGCTCCTTTTGATGGAAGCTCAGTAAATATTGTTGAATGATAGAATCATAAAATCATTGTGTTTAGCTGAAGAACCTTCTGGTAGAACTGTCC